TGTTTATATCACAAATTGTATCCCAATGATACGGACACTATTCTCTTTGCACTATACCCCACCCAACCCAGTGATTTCATATGGCTTCTAGCCCAACAGACTCAATTCTGATACTTAAGGCGGACTAATTAGACTGAGTTTATTGGTCTATAACTTCTGATTGGGACTAATCAAAAAGTTGTATGTCAAAAAATTCACGTTTAAAATTATTTCTCAAAACATTAAAATTAAGAAGCACGAATATGGGACACGAGGACAATACGGATACGGGAATATAATAAATCTAAAAAAAAAAAAGATACGGCATGGGTACGGCAGGATACGATAGTTTTTTTTTACAATACGGATACGAGAATATAATAAATAATAAAAAAAAGGATACGGCGTGCGTATGGCGATAGTTTTTTTTTTAATTTTCAAAAAAACAATTATATATATATATATATATATATATATATAATTATCAGTTTCTTGTAATATTATGAATCTCACTGCACTAATTAACATGTTTACAAATACAAAAACAAGTAAATTAATTAAACAATGAGAAGTTCTAACAGAGTAAGAGTAGGAATAACATAGAAAAAGAAAAACCCTAACTCTAAATCTTAAAAACTAAAAAAAAATGCAAGAAAAGATTAAAAAAAAAAAAAAATGATCAATTAAGCATATTGTGACGAATCTGGGGATCAATTGGGTAATTTAGGTGTTTTAAATGTAGTTTGTTTTATTATAAATTGACCCTCATTTTTTAACCTACAAAATTTTAAATATTACAATATGAACCCCGTATTTTAAATGCAATTTTGTTTTATTATAACTCGACTCCATTTTAACCTACAACTTTTAAAATATTACAATATGAACCTTGCCGTATCCCAAAAGTATCCAAGGCGTATCCAATCATATCCGAAAATTAAAAATTTATTTAAAAAAATCGAACACGTGTTCAGCGTATCCAAGTAGTATCCGGACTGGACACATATCCGATATTGCACGCTTATGGGAAGTATTCGTGCTTCTTAGGTTAAAACAATTTCTTCTATAGAATAATTATATTCACATCCAAAGTATCACTGAATCGAGAACATAATTTCATACGGCAAAGCCATGTCATTAGCTCAACCGTTCGGTTGAAAAACTATCGTACAATCACCGATATATCGTGGCCAAGGACAGAGCCAATAAAGGCCTACGTGCCCCCCTGAGTTGGCCAGCAACCTATAATATATGTGGTAATTTTTTAAAAAAATTCCATATATATGAAAAAATTTATACAGTGCCTCTCCTCAAATTTGTAGTTCCTAAAATTATATTTGTATTTTTTCTTTATTTTCTCTTTTACTTTTCACATTCCTTAAATTTCTTTAGTAGAAAAAGTCAAATTTTTCTTCCTCAATTGAAACTTTTTAACTATTTCCTATTAAAGTTCTTTCATTTTTCTTTCCTTTTATATTTAAAAAATTTTCTTCTTCTTTGTCTTTTTTAATTTTATAGTTGTTATATATATATATATATATATATATAAGTACTCCATATTATTATTATTATTTTTTGCCAGTGTGCCCCCTCTCACTTGAAATCCTGGCTCCGTCACTGATCGTGGCAATGTCAAAAACACTCAGACACGTATCGGTCCTATTGGACATGGTTAGAAGTGTGTTGAAATTTTAAATTTTTTTTCTTCATAAACATAGCTCGGACATGATAAGGACGTGTTTGGGACACTTTCAAGATTCATAAGGTGGTTTTGTAATTTTTTATGTTTTCCCATCTCTCCCCTCCAATCTTTATGCTATGTTAGGTTGAAGGGAATGATTGAGCGGGAATGCATAGGATGAGGGATGAAACCATTCATATTTGGTTAGAGGGAATAAAAGAGAAAGGGGATCTTTATGTTTTCCCATCAGCCCAATTTTGGGAGGAATGAGATGACAGAAAGAATGAATAACTACCTAAATTTATAATTTTAACCTTTTCAAAAATTTTGAAATGAAAAACTACCTTGCATAATTTTACATAATGAGGATGTATTGGTCAAAAATATAAAAACTCTAATTTTCTTCCTTCCAACCAAATAAAAAATAAAGTGTCACTGCATCCATCATTTTTTCTATTTAATAAACTTGTATGTTATAACTCATTAATGATGCTTGCATAATAGTTATGATGTTTTCTTAATTTTTGTCATTTTTCAGGTAATTTCCAGAAATTCGGTTAATTTCGTTGCTTTTAGGGTCTTTAAGTTCAATCGACGGAAGGAGAACGTGAGATCTGGAGTATCCAAGGTGATCCAATGGCCAAGATCATTCAAGGATAATTCTACAAGACTTTTAAAGGCAAAATTCGTTTTGAGTCATTATACGAAGAAAATAAGCTTTCCTATTCAAATAAGAATAATTATTTATTTATTTACTAGGAAATTTTTTTTTGGACCTGCTTAAATGTTTTGGGCATAACTTTTTACCCAAAGACTCAAAACCTTCATTTTTGTGTCTAATAGCGATTTCCAAAAGACTCTTTGGGTCTCTTTCTTTTATTGGACTTTTTCTATTTTCCTTTATTCCATTCTTGGACAAAATAAATAATTCCTATGACAATTACACAAAATGGCCATTTTACATTGCTTGTATTTTTATCTATTAATTTATTCTAGTGACATAAAGGCGTTATTGTTATTTTAAGTCTTGAGGGGTTATTTGCACCAAATCAATAGTATAGGGAATTTCCAACTATAGGGGACCTTTTTTTGGCACTATATCGATATTAGCTAGTAGAAGTTTTTTTTTGGGCTTAATCGTTTGACACACAGCAAAACATATATATATAGTATGAATATATATATATATATTTTATTGAATAAATTATCTGACAAGACAAAAAAAAAATAAAAATACTTTTGTTGAGGATATAATAATTTTTTACGTTGCCATTAACAAAATATGGGAGCTGAGATTCTGGCATTTTCCTCTTTTTCTTTGCAATGGCATTTCATCTATTAATCATGTACCCAAAATATATATATATTAGTACTAGGTAATTTATTTTCTTTTTCCAAATGTTATATCATATAAATATTCATTTATTTAATTTTTAAATTTATTATTGTCCATTAAATTAGTAAAAAATATAATTAGAAAAGCCATTGAAAAATTAACTTGTTACAAACATGGATCATGGGTCAATGGGAAATTTATTTATTTATTTATTTTTTGTTTCCATCCATCTAAGTCGACTTCAAAAGAGTTTCAAGTTAGTTTTAATACGGTGCAATCGTTATTACTGTTGTTATGTTATCTACAAGTATTAACTGTATTCATTTTACTTTTTTATTTTTCCAATCATCAAATTTTTGACAAGACCAAAAATTCCAAAAAAAAAAAATCTCTCAATATATACTGGACTATATTTCTCAGAGACACTTTGGGGTTTTTTTCCTAATTCAAAAATTTTTTTTTTTTTTTAAAGCTTAGGGGCCAGGAATTTTTTTTTTTTTTAAATACATAGCTCCCGCCTAGTTTTTTACCGTTACTTATCAAACCCAGCTTTCCCTAATCTCTCTTCTGAAAACATTTAGTTCAGCAGCTTAGAATCAGCGAATTGTTCTCTCTCTTCGATTAGGTTTCTGCAGGGAGTCTCTCCGCAGTCGATCATCATTCCATTACTATTTTAGACGAAAGGTACAATTATATATATTCACTTCCTGTGTGCGTTTTGTAATTGTCTGTTTCTTGCGTTTTGCGACTAATTATCTGGAAAAAGTTTTCTCAAGAACCGTAATCGTAAGTTTTACCTATCTTTATACTTTGTTCAAATGTTTATATATATATATTCTTGTTTTCAAAAACATTGTAATAGTTCAGCAGCTTAGAATCAGCGAATTGTTTTCTCTCTTCGATTAGGTTTCTGCAGTGAGTCTCTGGAAAAGAAGAAATTTCCGCTGATCGACCCTCAGCAATTTATTTCTTAGACAAAGGTACGTTTCTTGCGTTTTGCGACTAATTATCTGAAGTCAAGAACCGTAATTGTAAGTTTTACCGATCTTTATACTTTGTTCAAATGTTTATATATATATATTTGGTGGTTTGGTTTTGTTTTTTTTTTTTTTTTTGCGATTCTTGATTTCATCTTCTTTGTGATTCTTGTGAATACGCATCTATATGTATATATAAATATACACAGACAACCTTCCACGTAAATTGGGGGTTTTATGTACTTTTCAACAAATGTAGAAGAGTCCCCAATTTCTTTTTATCACCCGACCGACGGCCGCCACCAACACAACCGACGGCCACCGCAGCACCACCAACGGTGACGGAAGCAGCAGCAGCATCAACCGCCACCACATCCCACCCACAACCACCAGTGGTGACATCACCACCATCCTCACCCCCTTATCTTTATCCCAGCCAATGAACCGAAATACAGTCAGTTCTCGGTGGCGCCGATCTGGGATACGTTGATTAATTAATTGATGTAGAGAAAAATTGAAACGGTGCTGAGGAAGACTGTCGTGGTCTTCGGCGGCAAGATCGTTCCCGGTGGCGGCAACGGGCGTCGTTGTAGTTTAGTGAGGGGGTAGTTGTTTGTTCTCGGCGGCGACGGCGTTTGGGATTAGAAGTTGAGATAGGGAGAGAGAGCGATGGTGGAGCCATTTAGGTTGTTGAAATTACATAAATGCCCATGTGGCAATTTTTAATATATATACACTCATCGTAGAACTAATGAGATTACATAGAGTTGAGTGTCAATTGTCTACTTTATTTTGACTGCTTTGTAAAGATTATGCAATGATATAGTTATACTGATTTAGTAGTTTGTAGCGATCCAATCACAAGGGACTTGAAACCGGCTTTAGGAGAAGCTTCTAAAATTGGCCTGGTTTAATTTTTGTTTTGACATATTTGTGTGTATTGAATCTGATTGAAGGACCCAAAACCGTCGTATTCTCACATCCAGAATAGAGTTATACATGTTCTGTTTCTTGTAACTCTTTGTAACTCGTATCAGTATTATAAAATAATCCTCATGGCCTTTTGATTACTCCCTGTATACATGTATTCACAAAATGATATGGTTCTATTGATTACACCCTGTTTACATTTATGTCACAAAATGATATGGTTCTATTGATTAACCACTGCCTCTATTAGCTATGATGTGTGTGTGTGTGTTCAAGGGCTTACTGCATTGTTTGATCTTCCAGGTTGTATAATGGCCGGAAATGATACACAAAAAGAGTTGCCTCCTGATGTCATTCCAGAGATCATTATCCGTCTACCTGCAAAACCATTTCTCCGATGTACGCTCGTCTGTAGTTCGTGGAATGAATGGATAAGCAATGATGATCTAGACCTAGCTGCAAGACAGTCGGAACTCTACAAAGAAATTTCTGGCTTCTTCTCTCAGGATTCAGTCAACCCTCCAGATTTTCTTACTTATGACAATTACTCTTATAACATTCCTTTGGAGGAGGGCCTTCCATATATACCCGAGATATTCAAAATGGTTAGCTCTTCACGTGGCCTGCTTTTGTGTGAAGGCATTCTTGACTTTTATGTATGTAATCCAGTCAATCGGCAGCGGATCTCTATCAAAAAGTTCAGGAATCAAGTGGCCGGACATCCTTCAATGGTAATAGCATTCGAGCCATCTGTTTCACGATTCTACCTAATAGATGCAGCGTCTACTGGTTCAGGCTTGAGCCTTGACATCTATTCGTCTTCTGAGAATGAATGGAAGCACTATTTCTTCAGAAATAAGGAGCAGCGTTCAAAAGTTGTTTGTGGTGGGTTCTACACCCGAGGGAGGGTGTATTGGCTTCTTAAAAGCCAGAGGCGTAGGATAAGTCGACAAACAAGATTGATGGTCCTAACCTTCGACATTCAGAAGAAAACCCAGTGTGTTTCTTGTCTCCCATCTGCAGCAACAGGTATTTTACTGATGAGCAATATAGAAGAATACTACTACATAAAAAATATCAGCGGAACTGAAACAAAGCTGCTTCTGGGAGTTAACACGATTGGAATTTTTAGGAGGTATGGAGAGAGTTCTGCCCCACGATGGGATGTCTCAGAATTTTCTGATCATTTCTTACTAATACGAATGGGCGTGAGATAATCATATTTGATAGGACTGACGGACAAGTTGTGATGTTGGTTACTGGTGGTGGTAACTCCAGATTGGTTCCTCACAGCACTACATTTGCCAATCTGTATGGCATTATGCAGAAATAGCTTGTTTAGAATCTTCTAATGGTGACTGGAACATTTCTCATGTTAGGCTTGATATATCTTCTAGTATATGCTTTAGCCCTAATTGCCTAATTGTGTTAGGCACAAGAGGTAGAATGTGCATATTCACACTACAATCTATCTCTCTCTCTCTCTCTCTCCATATATATATGTATATATATCTACACACAGTCACACACATATATCATCTGACACTTCAAATTTTAAAATAACCAGACACTAAGGCAGGAAAATATATTCATGAAGTTATTATTCTTCTAGTATATGCTTTAGGGATCTTGGGCACTTGGTTGAAGGTTTATAAATTGGGAAACCACAAGCTTAGCAATCTCACCTATTGCAGCTTGCACCTGCTAATCATCTGGCTCCCTTTGCGTCGAAAATCCTAGTGTGTATTCACCGGCAGCAACCATCGTCTTTCTTGATGTGGCGAGAACATTCTCCAGATCCAACTGTGACAATGCCCTTGGTTCCTGGGGAAAAAAATGATCAAGAAATTCAGTAAGACATACGATCCTGCCATATCCTAATATCAGCTTACATGGTCAATAAAGAACCCTAGACATGTTAATCCAGTTCCATCTATGCTAGAACCAATAAAAACAAATACATATTAATTGGCCATTAATATTGGAGTCCGACCGGTTTTTGTGCGATTCCAATGAGCAGAGAGTTCAACAAGGATTCTTGTCAATATTAGATAAGTTTAGAGTATCTCTCCTCTTAGGTGTTTGTTTACACATCATTAGGTAATAACAACCGATTGGGACTTTTATCATTTTCATTAATATTGAGACAGGATCATGTCTCCTCTCCCAAGAAAAACCCATAATTTAACAATGCAAAGACAGATATACAAAGCAGACTGAAATTAAACGAGACAGTGAACTGACATAGTAGAAGTATATTACATAACTCATAGAAGTATTCCAATTAAAAGCATAACAAATACTAGTAGAAACCAAGGGTAGGAGAAAAAATACTCGAAAACTAAATGGTGGAACATAAAAAGATGAAATACTGACATTAGATGGTTTCCCACTCTTCTCATCATTAAGTAGGTCCCTGATGGGAAAATAGGCCCCTTTTTTGCATAGTTCAAGAAGATCCGAACCAGTGTACCCATCGGCTAAACTGGTTATGTGGTCATAGTCAAAGCCATCTTCTACCCTCTCACCCTTCAAAATCTTCAGTATCTGAACTCTCTCCCTGTGGTCAGGTATCCCAATCTCAAAAGCTTGTGGAAGACGTCTAAGTATTGCTTCATCAAGTTCTGATGGACGGTTGGTTGCAGCAAGAACCATCACCCGAGCATCCTCTGTATATAAATATATAATATCATCATAGCCAAAAGCCTTGGCCCAACTAGGTTAACAAGAGAACACAAGTAAAATATTTGACAGAAATCAAAAACCACTCTCAAGTATACACATTAGACAGTACGACAGCCACTTTTTTTTAACAAAATAACATAACAGATGAAAAAGAAATGCCGGACAATATCAATGCACTTCAGAGAGAGAGAGACTTACTGTCCGTGGTGAAATCATCCCACAAAGCCATGAACTCAGTTTTCATGTTTGTTAATGTTTCATTGTCGGTCGTGCGGCGCTGACCCAAAAAACTATCAACCTCATCAATGAATAAAATGGCAGGCTGGAGTTTATGGGCCAAGCTAAAGACAGCAAACACTGCAAAAGTTTGGTATGATATTAACAACCAAGTATGGAAAGAAACAAAATAAAAAGGATTACCGAGAACAAATACTTTAGGATCCACATCTGATGCACAAGCAGAAATTAGTAAGGTACGAGGACAAAGTTATATGATCTATTGTCAGATAGTTTTTCTTCATCATGTTCAATTTCACAGAATTAGAGAAATTGAAAACTATTTGTATATTTTCTAATTCTTGCATATTGTTCAATTATTGTTCACTTGGAATTGTATACCTTCAAGATTATAATGCCACATGCTATTACAGAATACTTATTTATGTATCAAAAATAATTCTTTACCATTTTATGAGATAATATTGCAATATAAAATTTCATTTTTTAGTTAGTGTTGGGGACATATGGCAGTACAATAAAACCAATCCCACAGCATTTATAACTTGTTTTTTTTTTTTTTTTCCTGATAAAGTCACAAGTATCAGTATTCTCAGCATAAATCATATATTGACACTTTCAACCATACACAATTGAAGTCAAAGTAAGTTCCACCAAATATTGCTCCATTTTAATTTCCACATGATTAGATAAATTGATTTAGTGCATAAATTGTTGGCATTAGGGCAACAATCAGTGTTATTAAAAGCCCAACACACTAGAAGTCTTTTGAAGCCTAGGCGCGAGGCACACAGCAAGGTGTGCTAGGCGCACAATTAAAAATTTAAACTATCATAAAAACATTCATATCTCATAAGTCATATCAATGCTCTAAAAACAAGCACAAGCACATAGCTTTACACAAGTTAACAAATGAAATAGAAAGTCCATGGAATAATATCCAATTAAAAAAAAAAAAAAACACTAATTGTTTATATCACAAACAAGTAACTACCCACATAAAATTGCAAATTAAAAAAAAAAAAAAAAAAAAAACTAGATTTACAATTTTTTTGTTTCAATAAAATTGAATAAAAGTTAAATTAATCCAATCACTACATGAAGAGCAAAAAAATATATACACACACACAGATATACAGATATGTATTATTACTAGATTTCTCAATCCATATAGACTATGAAAAAAAAAAAAAAAAATCGTTATAAAAATATACAATTTTTAACCAAAGTAAAACCCTAGATGGCGAGTGCAAACAAGGCCTTAATTACCATATCATCATAGGGAGTACGCCACACAATCACTACAGTAACCTCAGTGACAGAGAGAACTGAACTTACAGAGATGAATTTTAGATCTGAAATATCAAAACGCACATGTTTGAAAAGACTGATTCACTTCCGAATTGGGAAAGAAACCCTAGCATTCGCCGAACCGATGAGATTTACACGCGAGAGAGTAAAGCATGCCAAGACAGGAGGCGTTGTAAATTGAAATTGAATTCCTAGGATTTGAATTGTAATTAAAATAGAAGCATATTTTTCCGGTATAAGATAAAATACAATTTATAAAAAGGAATTTATATTTTTTTTTCTGTCAAATATATATATATATATTGAAATTGAATTCCTAGAATTTGAATTGTAATTAAAATAGAAGCATATTTTTCCGGTATAAGATAAAATACAATTTATAAAAAGGAAATTTTTTTTTCTGTCAAATAAATAAATAAATAAATATATATATATATATATATATATTTATTTATTTATTTGCCAAAAAAAAATAAAAATTCTTTTTATACATTGTATTTTATCTTATACCGGAAAATATATATATATATATATATATATATATATATATATTTATTTGACAATGGTTAGAGAGTTAGATATTTGACAATGGTTAGAGAGTTAGAGAATATATATATATATTTATTTATTTATTTGACAATGGTTAGAGAGTTAGAGAATTTCTCACTAGGACAACACAGTTCAAAAAAGAATTTAAAGGAAATTAATTTTGTACCATCTTATGATAAGAATTTATTTGCATAGATGGATTTGGAAGGAAAAGAAAAGAAAGAAGAAGAGGTAGTGATTTTTTTTTTTTTTTGTTTCTTAACAAGAAGAAGAGAAAATAAAATTTTGAAATCTCTCATTTTCTAATTGCTATCCTTTCAAAAAGGTCAAAATTTTAATAGAGATGATAACAACCGACACTTTTTCTAATTATCTATTCTAAATGTTTGTATATATATTATTATGTAGTAAGGCCAACTTCACTAAAGACCAACTTCACATAATTATAAAATAAAATAAAATAAATAAACTCACCAAAACTAACCTATACTTTTTATTTTATTTTTGGCCATTGACAAAAAAACTCACACACACTGCTCACACACTTATTTTATTTTTTTGAAGACTCAACCTTCATTGTCCATCACTCCATCATGAAAAGTAGATAAATAAAATACCACTAAATTACAAGACCTTGGTATATTATGTATCAAATATTATTATTATTATTATTATTATTATTTGTTATTGACAAAAAATTCACACACACACTTTATTCTTTTAAAAATTTAAATCTTCATCATTTACTTTAAAAAATAAATAAATAAAATATCACTTAACTACGATATTCTGGTATACTCCGTATTATATAGCACTATAAATGACATCAAGGAATGGCAGGATCTCAAGGGACAAAAAAGAATCCACATCACTCTCACTGAGAGACGGCCTCAACTTTTGACAAATCACTAAAATCTTGATTTACTTCTGACAAATCACCAAATACACTCCACTCCCATCAGGACTTCAATTTAGCTTTAACACATAAAAATCCTCTAAAAATTCCCAGAGAAATATATTAAGTCCAACATCCCACCCTAAAAAAAATATATATATAGTAATAATTTTTAGTCATGTTTGGATAGATAGGGGAGAAAAGAAAAGAAAAGAAATGATAATTATTCTTGTTTGGATAAGATAGAAGAGAGAAAAGAAAAGAAAGGATAGTGATGAAATTCTTGTCTTGCCCTTTCATAACCACTTTATATATTATTCATTTTCAAAATCTTATTTCTTTTTGATAGTTCAATGTCATGAGTAAAAACAAAAGTAAAAAAAAAATGGATAAAAACAAAATTAGATAAGACTCGTTTAACCTAAACAACCGAAAACTAGAAATTATATTATTTGCCTGAAGCCCACGAAAAAAGTAATACATTATCAATTTGGTGCGAATAGGTCCCTGGTGGTGTAAACTGACGATAACACCCTCACTTCAATTGAATAAATTAATGATTATAAATACAGACCATATAAAATGACCTTTTTTTTCTTTTCCAAATTTATATAAAATGGAGTTTGTTTGGCAACAGGATAAAATAAACCTCAAATTATATAAAATATGGATAACCTAATAACCTAAATATAATTAAATCTAAAACTAAACATGTCCTTTCATATTTTAAAATATAAATAAAGGTAAAGTGGAGATCGCAATCTTTCTCTATGCTCTGCAACCTACTGTGATTTACAATGAGAAAATCGAAGGGGTCAGTTTTATTTGTTTCACAGACCAAATCGATTGAAGGTTTGTTGAATCTGTTTTCGAGATGAAGCCAAGTGTTGATTACAACGCTTTTTGTTAGTTTTTCGAATTAAGCTCTATCTTTGTTCACAGGAATCTCCGGAACTGTTGCTGCAATTGGGTCTCGGCATCTCACTGATTTTGTCACTGCAGTTGGCCATCAAGAGCTCAAGTTTCTCGCCAGTAGTGTTGCTGGAAAGAGAGACTTTCACCGTTCTGCAATTGTCGTCGGAGTTCTGTCTCTACAACTTCACTGGAGCTCGTGGGTCTATGAAGGTGAAGCTGGCTGGACATGTTCACGTTGATGAACGAAGTTGTAGCTCTCAATGATATTCGCGCTTCCTGTTCTCGACGGTAGGTCTCATCGATTTTTACTGGTCTAATTCAGGAGTTCCGGCTACTAATGGGTCTTCAATGCTGTTCCGGCCATGGGTAGTCGCCGTCCTCATCCCCATTGATGTTATATGACTGTTATTGGAAGGCTAATGCAGAAGAGTAATTACTTGGCATCAATGGTGGAGTAATTAACGAACAATCCAATTAATGGCACTGGTAGTTTGGTTTAAGTCATTTATCAATAATTTTGTCACAATAATTAACGAACCAGCCGGCCGAGCTCATCACTGCATTTCTTCTCCACCGCCGCTGCCGCCACTTCACCGCGGGTCCATTCCATCTCCGCCGATGTGCAGTTCCTCCGTTGCCGGCCAATCCAGATGAACCACTATACCTAACCGAATAATAAATACAGATGTTTCAAGCGCTTCTTCACCTTCCTCCCTGTTACTTGTCTTTCGCTTCTCTCTCTCTCTAAAACGGGTTAACCTGAAAGTTTGAAACAATGAAGTACATTTATCTACGTGTTGTCCACTTGTCCCTATTTTATTGATCCTTGAGATTTTACATTCCAAGTCAGCAACATAAGTGCATAAAGTTTAAAACTCTGTCGTTTTATTATAAGGGTAGAAAGGTCTTTCACTTTTTCTGGTACCAGATTATGTGCTGGTGGGGTAAATTGCAACAAAATCATATGCACAATTGGTGAGGCCTTTTATGCACAAATACTGAAGATCTTTTATGCACAAATGGTGAGGGGCAAAATGAAAAACAAAAGGGTAAAATGGGATTTTCAGTTTTATTTTTTGTAAAAAGTGGTCAGAGAGACTAATTATGCACCTTTTTTGAATTTAGTGGACTTGCATGCACATTTTCAAAAAATGAAGACTAATTTTGCACAAAATTTATACATCAGAGATTTTTTTGCACTTAACCCAAAATTTAACACAAAACAAGCACAAAAGCACAGACCTTCACCCAAGTTAACATATGAAATAGAAAGTCCATGGAATAATATCCAACTAAAAAAGAAACACTATTTGTTTGTATCACAAAAAGTACTATACTATCCACATAAAATTGCAAATTGCAAGTAAAAAAAAAAAACTAGATTCACAATTTTTTTTGTTTCAAGAAAATTAAATGCAAGCTAAATTAATCCAATCAATACATGAAAAGCAAAACAATATATATATAAACACAGAATATGTATTGTTACTAGATTTCTCAATCCATATAGACTGAAAAAAAAAAAAAAAGAAAAAAAAAAAAAGAGGGTTAAAAAATATACCTTTTTTAATCAAAATAAACCCTTGAAGGCGAGTGCAAAGAAGGCCTTACCATATCATCATAGAGAGTACAACACACAATTACTACAGTAACCTATCATTCACTGAACCCGATGAGATCTTCGCACTAGAGAGAGGAGGAAAGCAAGCCGACACAAAAGGTGTTGTAAATTGATATTGAGGGCAAAAAGAAATATATATATATTTTTTTTCGATAATTTACACAAACTTCTCTTGTGATTTGTCATAATTACATAGACCTTTTTTATAATTTGAAAATTTACTCGAACCTCCTCTAATAATGAAAATATCTTATACGTATCTCCCTTCTATTAGAATTAATGTCAGTCAAGAATGAAATGTGCTGACATCATGTACAAATTTTATTAAAATTTCCATACTACCCTTGTTCCTACCAATTATATATATATATTTGTATACATAAAACCATTGTGAAGCAACGGTCCATTTTTTGTTCATTATTATGGCTCAAATTTTGGAGCTGCTCTCCATTGTCCCACCGTGACTGAGTTCATCGATCAACTAATCAAGTCTTTTGAAACTTCATCTACAACTTAGGGCTCAAAATTTTGGGCACGTTTAGTTCATCTACAAATCAAGTCTTCTGAGTAAATTTTGGAGGAGAAGAAGAAAATTGTGTATTGAAATCGGCTCTCTTATAAGGGCTATGGGTTCGAGTCCCGGCAGTAGAATCATTTATCTGTAATAAAAAAACTTTTTGCTAAAAGTCTTTGGGTTGGACCGGAGGTAGGTATTAGTAAATAGTGACATGTTATCTTGGTGGCCCACATACAGTCGATATTCGAAAAAGTTGACAGCCCACAATTCAAATTCTTACATATTTTTTTGTCAGTTGATTTTCTATTGTGTGTTACAAGAAAATCTCATATTTAAACTTTTCGAAACATAGAAGTTTGATGCCTATCTAAGAAGCACTGAAATATCATTGATACAGAGACACCACAAATTCAGAAAAATTAGGACATGGACACCATAAATAATATTATTTATGGTGTCCATGTCCTAATTTTTCTGAATTTGTGGTGTGATGATATTGTGATTAGATTTTTGTTAGAAAATGAGAAAATGAAATAACCCTTAGTTAAAAATAAAGGCAAGAATTCATATAAGAGAAAAAAATTCATTTGAAATAGAGGAAAAATGAAAAAGAAACGCTAAAAGAAATTTATTGTCAAAGTAAAAAAGAAGTATCTAGGATTTGTGAAGAACAAAAAAAAGAAAGGTTCGAGAAGAGAGAGAGACAGAGAGACCATCTAACAGTAGCGAAATTTGGTTGGTAAGAGAATAAGAGAGTCAAAGATGATCCTGCAAGAGTTCGAACCTTGAACTAAAATATAAGGACAAATATCTAATTATTTTAATATAAAATTATTTTATAAAACAACAACTTTTAAGTACTTAAGTAATTACCATCATATTGTTGAAAGTTATTAAACAATTCTTAATATTTATACTTCAACTCAATATTATTTCTAAACTTTTTTTAAAAATCCCTAAGAATGGGACAAGTGTGTGGGACACATATCCATGGCGTGTTAGATGTGTGTTCAAGGAACGAGCAAAAGAAAAATAAAAGAATTTCAGTTTAATTATATATATATATATATATATTGTGTCCTCTCCATATTGACCTTATCTTGATCAAAAGTGGTAATTGGCAAAAAAAAAAAAACACTTGATCTTGTAATTCTACAATTCAAGTTTAATCCAAGGGTCTGAATTTAATAGATATAGTGAAACCATGCACCAGAGCCTCTCACGCATTAAACACAGTCAAAATTGAGAGTCTAGAAAACCTAACCAGAAACCACCTATGAATTATATTGTACCACGAATTTTCTCAAATCCATCAACTCAGGAAATATATGACACGTGTCAAAATTTCCTTGGATGCGGAATTACACGCGGCAAGCAACGGACTTGTTGCAAGAACTATATAAAGTTTTGCAAATTGTGGTATCTGCATAATTAATCTTACATTTTTAGCAGCAATTAATTGCTTGGTGTGTTTTTGTTATGGACCAATCTCAGAGCATGAAATACCGCCAGCCCAAAGAACAAGCCCAGGTGAGCTCTATTCAATTATATACAGTATATTTTATGATATGAATTGTTGTCATAAAATAAATCATGTGATCATGGTAAAATGATAGTGATGTGTAGTTGTTATATATGTTTCATTTCAGACCAAATATAACCAGACGATGGACAAGTCCAAATCTTTCAATGAAGCAATACAAGAGGTTTGTTCCTTTACTCCTCCTTTCACCCCTTTCAGATCTATAAATTTTGAAAAAAATGGTACATTTTCGGAATTTGGACAATGTTCAAAGAGGGTGATATAAGTCAACGTGGACCCTATTACATTACCATCATTCATCATCTTCGTATTTGAAAGATGTATCGTTACGATTCAAGTAATTTATTATTTGATTGTGTAGTAATTTGTGGTGATCGATTACATTGTGTAGGGTGGTCAGCAAATGAAGGCCAAGCCACAAGAGCCAGCAGATGCTGCGAAGATCAATGTTGGGACTCACAAATGAATCTACATAGATCTCTTTCTGTATTTCTATTTATTATTTGTTCTCATATTTATTTCATTTTCATTTTGGGATTTTTTTTTTTTTTTTTTTGACCCTAAGAGCTAGCTGTTGATTTAATGGAGTTCATCACTTGATCCATAAATTTTCAGCAGTAATGAAATATTTTTAAGCAATTTTTCTTTTGTTCTTTCTATAATTCAACTTTGCCATCGATCATTGTCCAATTAATTATGAATGTTTTTTGACTTGACAAATTTCACAAACAGCCAATCTAATTTGATAATCTTAATCTTGTTCTGTCTCTACATAATGTCTTAAAATTGAAATCAGGGTTCATATAAACAAATTTTAACACTATTTGTCATCAAACACTAATCATAAATACACCTCTATTGGTACTACCCACTGCAAAAAATGGTTGCTAAAAAACTTTGATTATCAAGACAAAAAAAAATTATTTTTAATTTTTTTCTTATAACGTTATAAAATTGATTCCATGGCTTGAAAGAATGTCCTTAATGCAATTTCAGAATTAAAAAGTTAATTTATGTATGTGACATGATGATCTAGCTCTGATATTGCGACCACAACCCTAATCTAATTGAGCCATCAATATACATTAAAACATTACTGCATGATAAGTTATAATCTATGCTGAAACAAGTATGAATGATAAACTGTATCGTGTATAAGTCAATGCAATTAGTACACTAAGAATCAAAACAATTTGAAGCATAAAATTGGGAATTAGCAGGTTGAATATCCAGTTAATCGATAAGCAAGTTTATCAGTTTGAAAAAGCTTTTAATTAAAAACAAAAACAATTTTTTTAAGGGCCTCTTTGGCTCATATAGTTCTTTCAGCATTGAAAAGAAAGGAAACAAGTGAATGGTAGTAGGCTAGGAGCGTCTCACATCGTGGGAGAGAAGTTCCTACTATTTCTATGCTTGGATACCCCTTAACCCAATAGATGTGTTTGAGCAAAACGGTTAAGGGTTTTTTAGACAATTGTTTTTATTTTGTGTTTTTTATTTTTGTTAGTGTGCTGTAATGAAGTAAAAGCACGAACCATGTTTAATAATATTTATTGTCATTTGAATAATATCGAAATGCTTTTGAAAAAGAGGTCAAAATCATAAACATAAAAATGATACTTTTTGTTGCTACCGTACTGTGGCAAAAATACTGTTAAAAAGAAAATTAAATAAATAAATCTAAAATGATATTTTTAACTAACCATTTAATTTTTTCAACTTGCAACACATTTTATTAAATACATTTTCATGTTTTTTACTTTCAAAAATCTTGCAACAAATTTACATTATCAAACAAGTTTCAAAATAGTGTTGACAAATTCTAAAACTGAAATACTACTTTTGATTCAGGTCAAAGTAAAAGTAAAAGTAAAAACGATTATCAAACGGACCCTAACTAAGTATGTAAAACGGACAATATATATACAGGTTGGGACGAGTTATGATAAATGGTATTAGAGATAAATCTCAATTGAAAATGAGGTTGGGGGATTGGAGTGAGAAGTTCTTGACATTTATAGCACCTTTAATCATGTAAAAAGAGAAGTTCTTGACATTTATAACAACTTTAATTATGTACATACGTTTTTGCAAATTAATTCATGGATTAATCTTCAACATTTTAAACCTGTCAAACCTTCAAAGGTAATAAACTTCTTGGCCTAAGTTGATAACAAAATGTTTGTCCAGATTTCATCTCTATATCTTATACCAGCACTCAGTTCTTTCCTAGTGATGACCCTAATTAAAATTGTGTAAGATGACTTAAGAAATGGATTTTAGGAAATAGAAAAAGTGTGTTAATAGCCTAATTTTCATAAAATGACTCTTGAAAATATAAATCAATTACTGTCAACCCATAAAAGGTCTCTCGCTCTAACGCGCACACACACACACACACACCAAAAAAAAAAAAAAAAAAAACAAAAAAAAAAAGGCACACACAACCCAAAGAATCAGTTTGATTTGATACTCGTTAAAGTTTAATCAAACACATGTCAAATCGACAGAAGTTGCTAAAACTCCTCAAACCATCTTTGAATTGAACAATTAATATATGGATCTATTCAGCAGCTCCCTTGTCTAACGGCCAAACGAATCATAAATTTAGTAAGAGACAACACGTGTCAAATTGGGTTTCCCACATTGCAATACACGTGTCAAGCAAAGAATCACTTTCAGAAACTATAAATTTTGACCACCATATGCAGTATCATCCATCACCAAAAACGACAAGTTTTCCTTAGCCAACAAAGAATTCCCAGAGTGTGTGTTTGTGTTGCGCAGTGAAATCAAAAGATGGACCAATCTAACTTGAGCCAACAAGCTGGCCAAGCCAAGGGCCAAGCCCAGGTCAGCTTAACTTACCAATCTACTTACACACACACACACACACACACACACACACACACACACGACATTAATCTTTATACGCAATTTGAGTTTTTGTTCACGGTACAATGACATTAATTGATTTGTTGCCATGTTACATTTCAGCAAAAGGGCAACCAGATGTCGGACAAGGCTAGCAATGCTGCACAAGCTTGCAAGGATTCAGCACAGGAGGTAAGGTTTTGTAGTTTGTACTACTGCATAATCAATATATAAATATGAGATATATACATACTTCAAAACTAATATATATATATTTATATATATGGTTGTGTTATTTTGGTTAAGGCTGGTCAGCAGGCGAAGTCCAAGGCACAAGGGGCAGCGGACGCTGCCAAGAATGCAACTGGCATGAATTGAAGCTAAATGGATCCTCCTTCTATGCATGGATCCCGCATCATCTTCTTTTTCCAATCCGGCAAAATTCAGAGTTTTTCAATTTTTGCAGTTTTTCATATGTAGTGTTTGTTTGGCCTCTTTTCGACTGAAAAAGAGAGCTATCTCATGGATGATTTTATCACCTTAATCAAATAAATGGGATTTTCTTTTATTTTATTTTTGCAATTCCTTCATAATTCCTTTTAATATAGTCTATGACAATGATTCAGTGACCATCATCATTGTGATCCATATATATATATAAATATTGTTGTTTTACCTATAACATACGCTAATTAATATCTTAATTTGTGACAACTTAAATGGATCGATGAGGAGAGGTCTTCTGGGCTACAAGCATGTTGTGGACAACAATTAATATAATTAACCACAATATTTCATTAGTATTTGTCAACTCATCTTGTGATCGATCAGACAATGAAAAAAAAAAATGATTCCACCTGTCCCACGTAAGTGTCATATGCAATGTTTGTTAGCTTAGAAATGCGAAAAAAAAACAAAAAAAAAAAAGAAAAACCGGGTATCTTACAAAAAGTCCATTCAACCTCTAAGTCGGGTGAAATTACAAGTTTTAATTTCTTTCCGCATCTTCTAGCAATTTAAACCTATCTCGTGGTTGAGATGGCATATAATCAGAAAAATTCTCAGGTTACAAGATTAATTATGAAATTTAACATGATTAGTTTGGTCTGGATCTTTAATGATGAACTCGTTTGGGCTTGTTTCAATTGAGTTTAAGCTTAGCTAATTAAGAATGTGGCTTGTCTGACTAGGGCTATATTAGTAATGTATTTTATTTTTTTTGCGCTAATAATAAATAATACTCCTATGAAATAGTCTTAAGTTTTATTTGACCCATCAAAAGCAGGATTATTGAATTCTTCAGCAAAACGAATTTTTTTTTTTTTTTTTTCCCCACTGGGAGAAGAGTTAAAATATATATAGTAGGATTTGGTCAGATCTCCTCACTCAAAAATGGATGTGTTTCAGTTGAATTAATTAGATTTAGACCTACAAAAATCAAATATATATATATATATATATATATATATATATATATATATATATATGTAAATTATATATCAACTCTTAAAGAAATTTATAATGAACAAAATTTAATCTCTATTTTAGTAAGGGTATAAATGGAAGTTTCAATGATTTGTGATTTAACTAAAAAATTCAAAAGCTCTTACAATATTCTAGGTCTTGGACCGTCGGACGCATCACGTGGCAAAAAGCCATACAACTGTACAAGTATACTGAGAGCCTAACCATGCAATAAACGTGAAAAAAAATAAAAATTTCTGCTGCCGGGACTCCCATGAGAAAGCCGATTCCAATTGTCATTTTAAGTTGGCTACAGCAGATTTCTGTTATCTAGGTTAGCATTTTAATATTTATATACTTAATTATCTTTCTTCAGCAAAGCTAATAAGTTGGGCCTAGCATACAACATATTTCCATTTACTGGTTCTAAATTCTCGGAATGCCCCACTTCTGAAGAAATAAAAAATAATAAAAAGATATAGGCCACAAATGGACATGTTTAATATGATATAAATTATTAAGGAAAAGTGCAGGAAATATTCTTAAGCATATTTTGCGTAACATTTTTACACACTATTTGAAAGGGTGTGTAATAAATATTCTTAATTTTTTGATACTGTACAAAAATACCCCTAAATAAAAAATCTGACATAAATTAGTGTTTTAATATCTGTTTTGTTCTCTTAATATTTCGAAAATGTCCAAAAAATATATATACTACTAATCTCATACTATAAAGATGTTATGTGTACATTGCTTTATATATATATTATATAGGGTAAAGGGCAATAAACCCCCTCAAACTATGCTCTCTTTAGCAAGAAACCCCCTTAAACTTTTATTTTTACAATTAACCCCCTAAACTATCCCTTTTTTTGCAAATATCCCAATTCCGTTCAAATTCCGGTGAATTTTCAACGTTAAAGTGGTGTGTGACATCACATAAGCTAAGCATAAATTTTAAATGGCAAGAATAACCTTATTACCCATTTAAATCGGGTTGTCTTTTGACCCGATTTAAAACCCACTCCAACTCCCAAATCTAGTCAGCTTCGTCAAAGAAACTCCTTCTCTCTACCAGACTCTCTCTCTCTCGTTCTCAAGCAGATCCTACCAGCAGATCTGATGACGGCGAAGATCAGCCAAGGAATATAACAACAATAGATTCTGATGGTGACAGCAAGAATCAACATGGTGGCGACAAGGTTGAAAGTCTGAACTAACGACGATAAAGCCTGATAATTGGCGATCGTGATGGCGATGGTGTTTCGACGGCGAGACCCACCAATGTGCCTGTTGCAGCGGCAGTGGTTTCAGTGAAAGTTCTCTTATATGGGTTTGGCGATGATGGGTTGAGAATTTTACGGTCGCGATTGGGTTTGCCTGGTGATCACTCTTGGGGTTTTGCGATTGGTTTGCTTGTTGATCGACGACAACATATTTTTTAGATTTTGCGATTGGGATTACTTGATGATTGACAACATATTCTTGGGTTTTGTGATTGGGTTGGCAACTTTTGTAATTGGATATTGCGGCTAGAGTTTGGGGTTTTGTGATTGGGTTGTTAATGATTGCGATTCATAGCCAGAGATTGTATCGAAGGAGAGATAACACTATGATGTTTGGGATATTTTTAGTTGCTGGCTTTCGGTATAAATTTGCCCTGTTACTGGTTTTTTTTTTTTTTAAATTGTTTTTCTTGTTGTGCATTTGGTTGCTTATGACTATTTGATTTTGGCAAATTTAGGGTTTCAATGGTCACTGGTCAGAGCAACAAATTTAGGGTTTCAATGATCAAAGAGATGGGGATTGTTTGGCGCAAATTTTAGCAAAAAGCACACATAACAGTAATATGTGATAAAACTTGATGTGCTGTCAATGTTGGCAAGAGGGATTAGCAGATGAAGGTTAAAAAACAACAAAATGACATACCAGTCTATTGTAAGGGCAAAATGGTCAATTAATTTTTCTGTCAACTGCTGTTAGACTACTGTCCTTAAATTGCACATTTTTAATAGTTGAGGGGGCAATTGTTAATATAGGGGGGTTTTGTGAAATACTCTAATAATTCAAGGGGGTTTATTGCCTTTTACCCATATATATATATTTTAAACTCTACATATATTTTTTTAATGATGAATGTTTTATCTCTCTAGCATTGTATTTCTTTATGTATTTCTTATTTTTTCAAGTTCTAATTAGATTAGTGGAGTGTTTTATTTAACTGAGGAAAAATTATATAAGAAAAGTAGACTATTTATTTATATGGATCATCTTCATTCGAGGTTTTTATCCATATCTTGATTAAATTTATTTAGAAGTAATTTTATTTAATTAATTAGTGACAAAATTCAAAAAGATTATTTTTAAAATTAGGGTTCCTCGCTTGATTGTGTATTTGACCGGCTTATCACTCTACATTTTTAATAAATTGATTATAAGAAATTTTATTTTTTATACAATGTAAGACAAATATCTGAATTACAACCGTTTATTTTTTATTTATCTAATGCTCTGATGATTATATCTTTTATCTTGGTACAATTTTGAAAATAATAATAATAATAATTTCTTTCATATTATTATTATTATTATTATTTTTTCATCTTAATTTTTCTTTCTCTTTTTTATCTGTAGGAGTTGTAGGTAATCCCAGAAGACAAACAGAACAGATCCCGACCAGTGAACCTGTGAACAGACTGTAAAACCTTTAAAAATAAAAAATAAAAAAATTCCAGTAGCAGAACCCCTTAGCTGCCACCGCCGACCACCGTCCTGAACTCCACAGCCCACTTAGCACCACCGACCGCCATCACCCAAAACCTTCATCACAAACCCCAATTGAAAAAAAAAAAAAAAAAAAGGTTTTGTTGCTATACCCAAAACCTCCATCACCACCAACAAAACCATTGAACGAGAACCAAATTGCAAAAACCACAAATCCATCTTTAACAAAACGAATCCCAAAACCAAAGACCCTACTGTGAACTAAACACCCAAAAACCGCAGTTCAGATCCACTTCCCGTTGGCATCGCCGTCCGCCGTTCCGTTCTATGGTCGTGGCGTAGTGATCCTTGCTCGCCGATCAATTGTCCGTAGTTCAGTCCTCTTTCCCCGCCGGAATCGTTAAACCTCGTCATCGTCGTTGAAGTGTCTTGTGTCACCACTAAAATCCTCTCGTTCTGATCACTGTCATCAAACTTGCTGGTTTTGTCGCCGGTCATTCCTTGCTTGTGTAAATGGCCAACGACAAAACATAGAGCTATGGTTTGTGGTCTCCTCTCAAGAACACGAGGCGCTCTGATGATGCGAATTAGAATATGGACGGACTCAACTTGTGCAAATGGGGGTGTGCAAAACGACGTCACTGCATGGTGGGTATTTTGGTATTTTGATAAAATTATTTATTTTTATATATTTTATAAAATGGCTCAATTGGGATAATTTAGTCAACTTATGATTTAAATGTGTTAAGGAGACTTAATTGCACCAAATTAAAGTGTTTTCTACACATGAGAATTGTGATATGTACTGCAAACATATCAAATAATTAATTCAAACTAAGAAAGTTTTTAAAATCCTACTTTTTCCTTGCACCAGCACCATTTTTAAGTTTTGGAAGTAGTGAGATCTCATGAAGTATTCACCTTAATCAACTAAATGAGATTTCTTTTTTATAGAAAATTTAATACTTCCTCCATATAATTCATTTTATTGTGGCTATGATAATAATGATTCAATCACCATCATCATTGATTCATTGTTATCAATATAGTTGCTTTACTTTTAAGATGCAAAAATTACATTTTTATTGTGATCATATAATTTGTATATTATATTTTTTTTTGTCCAAAGTATGTTATTTTAAATTTGCTTTGCTTTATATCGGGTCTAGCTTGAAGTTAGAATCAAACTAAGCATTAGATATGATCTTTTTAATAATTCAATTAACTTCTTACTAATATTTAAAAATCTCAACAATTTTTGTCAGTATTTCTAAACATACATAAGAGTATTTAATGATAATCAATCAATTTGTTATCATTTAATTAGAAAAAAAATACTAATAATGAATTTTAAGTCTTATAGACTCGAAAATAATT